CAAGTAGAAAATGGAAGGAGGCAGCTAAAAACACTAGCCTTGGGGCTAAGTGAGATCATTTAGGGAGTGATTGTCGCTAGGGGAATTTCCTAAGCACTGAGTGCTGGGAATATTGAGCACTGCAGGTTCAGGAGGGGCGCAGAACCAGCAGCCAGTAAGGTGGAAGGAAAAGCAGGCCACAGTGGGAGTCCCTCGCCTCTCTCTGTTTGCCAAATTCTGCTTCATGCCTGAAGCTCCAGCTGCAACAGCTCCTCCTCTGGGAAGCCCTCCCTGACTGGGTCAGGCAAAGTTAATTACTCCCTTCTCTGCGCGCTCCCAGCATCCTATAGAGGCCCTCCTCCAGCACGTAGGATAAGCAGTTGTGATCCCCGGGTGGCAGTCTTCCCTGTAGCCTGCGCCCCCTCAGGGACCATGTCTTACCCATGACCACCTGCCCCACAACTAGCTTGGGGCTTGTCTCAGTGCAAGCCCAGGGAATATTCCAAAGGAAGAAAAAAGCTTATGTATCAGAAGTGGTCAAGAAGGCTTTACGGAGAAGGAGGGATTTAAGCAGCTCTTTGGTAGAAGCACTAAATTCCAAAAAACAGTGAGACTGGCGAGAGCATGCCAGGCCAAGACAGAGGAGGACACACGGGCAGGCTCAGGAAGGCACAAATTACATCTAAGAGGAGCTGCTCTGTGTGGCAGGACAGATGAGGCAACTGAGGTGAAGGAAGGTTAACTTCCAAGCTCACCTGGAAGGAGGAGCTGGTATTAGCTCAAAACCAGGGCATCAGAGAGCGAAACCCAAGCCCTTGCATGACCACAAGGCTGCTTCTTCATCTCCTTCCTAGGGGGCGTCTGGGGCTAAAGGGGAACAGGAGGTCAAAAGAACAAAGAAGGAGAAGCAGCTTAGGCTTCAGGAAAGGTGTCTCCTCCAGACCTCTAAGGGAGAAGATCACGAGCCAAGAGAAGAGTGAGACACAGAGCTAAAGGAAGATCGACACCCAGCAGCAGAAATGGGAAAGAATGTTCTTGAAAGCCGAGCTGGACACCTTTTCTCTGCGTGTGTTTTTCTGCCACATGAATCATCTGCCCCCACATGGACCTGACTGCCAAAGCCAGGGTCACACTGCTGCCCTCAAGAAGACTGTCGTGAGGATGTGTCGCGGGGACTGGCTGCGCGATGGTGGGGGGGGGGGCAGGCAGACCGCGATGACAGGGCTGCCACGTTCCTAGGCAACAGATTACAGGAAGGCTGCCCACAGCCTGAGCCGTGCCAGCAGCCGCTCCGGGCCACCACAATTTCCCGAGTAGTTATTGTGGCTATGATTGGAAAGGGGTCACAATCACATGTTTAAGATAAATGTAATGTCGCTGGCTAGAGTTTATGTCCCGGAATGTAGCAATGTGGGCCCTGCCCAGGCTACAGGCAAAGGGGGCATCACGACAAAGCAATCATTTCTTGTGCGTGCAAAGAACATTGTAGTTTACAAAGCCCTTTATACTCTTTATCTCACATGCAATGGACAACAGCTCTGTGAGGAGGCTGAGGAAATAGGCACAGAGACGTTGAGTGCCTTAGGTAAGGTCACACAGCAACTCCATAGCAGAACCACACCATTTCCCCCAATCTTTGGGCTTCAAGTTACTTCAGGTATCTGAGACCCAAACTAATAAGTGTCTTATCAAGTGACTAGAATAAAGAAAGTAAGAGAGGACCCCAAGGTGGAAAGAAAACTAGTTATTTTCTCAATCACTGTGAATCTGAAATGTATGGGAAACCCAATTTTGAACATCTAACACTTTACACCTTGTCGGAAGTTTTTCTCCCACAGTGCCTCAAGCTCCTCCTAGGAAGGCAGCTGGGGAAGTGGGTGTAGGTGATTGACAGAGAAAGAAACAGAGGCCCAAGGTAGTGAGGGAATTTGCCCAAGGTTGCACAGCTGCAAAGGGGAAGAGTTCCTCCTTAGAGCATTGCTTCCAGTCCGGTGCTCGTCCCCTGACCCCGCGCCTGGAATCAGTTAGTGTTGGTCTAGCAATGGAAAACAGACATGGGGCTGCGGTTCCATGTGCGAGATGTCGTCTGTCCAAACCAGTGGCTCCCTCCTTGTCTGCCCTCCAATTCCCAACAGCCCCAGCCCCCGGTTCCACCCCAGTGGCTGCCCCATGCAGCCTGTCCACAGCAAGACAAGCAGCAAACCACTGCCCCTGGCCCTCCCGCCGACCCCTCCACTGTGCCAGGGCTCCGTGGCTTGGCTGGTCATGCTGGGCCCACATGACTCTCCTGGAATAGCTGTCACCGTCAGACACATGTGGCCACACAGTCCCCCGGGATGACCCCTGGAGGCCTCCACGTTGCAACTGTCTCCTCTGCCCTAACCTTTACATGGCTTGGGATCGGACTTGTTTCCTCCGGTCTTATCTCCAAGTTCTGCCCACTTACCCTTTCTAATGCCTTTAGCTCCCTACATGATGGCTGAGCTGGACATCCTACCTGGGAACCAGAGCCCGGGGTCCACGTGCCTAAGGACGGATCTCTAGAGGACAACCATCCCTTCGTGGAACTGGCCACCGATTGATTTGCCCTTCAAAGGGTTCTACCGGCCGGCCTGGAAATCCTGCTGACTGGTGCCCCACCCCGGGGGAGCCACTCTTGGGAGCCTGCACCTCGGGACCAGCCTCCTCTTTTGCCATCAAATAAACAGCCCACCCATCAAAGATTCTGCTTCCCCCGCTCCGCCTACCTCTCCCCTCCATTCTTGTTCATCTTGCTCTCCTGCCACATTCTTGGATGGAGGATGAGAACCAACCCAAACAAATCATGTGTTTTGGTATTGGCATAATAGCAGGTGCAAACAAAACAGGGCCCAGCAACCCACCTCAACATGCGGTGGAAAAGAATGTTGAAAAAGACTGTTTACTTCATAGCAGCATTTGTATAAAGCTGCAACCCAAGCAAAACAAAGCAATATAGGGAAACATTCGTGCATAAGAAAGGTATTTTTTAAGGCAGGGGAATGATAAACATAAAATTCCAGACACTGTGACCCTGGGGGCAGCGGTGGGTAGGGAAATGGGCTGGGGACAAGCACAGTAGCTGGTGGGCAGTCTTGGGTTGGGAGGTGGCGCTTGGGATGCCCATTTTGCTCTTCTGCTCCAAAGCTTACGGACAGGTTCTGTGTGTTCTTTTTATATATTCACCTGCCACAGAGTAATTTTAAAGATGAGTCGGAGAGGGTCCCAGAGGTCCTCCTTCTTCCCATCGGCTCCGCACTCTGATTATCTGGTGGCAGGGACCCGGCTGTCTACAGAGTGTCCGGACTCCAGCCTCGCCCCTCTTCACGGCTCTGCTCTCACTCCCCCTTCCCTTCCGGCCATGCTCTGGCTTGGGCCACCACACTGTGGCCCCGGCCCCATCACCATCCTCACCAGTCACGAAGCACAGTGGGCAATTTCAGTTCTGGTCTCGTGTGACAGCTCAGTGGCATTTGCCACTGGTGATTCCTGCCTGCTCCTTCTGCAAGCTCATCTTCCTTGGCGCTCGGGGTGCTTCCTCTGCTGATATCCCTTCTACATCTCAAGCCCCTTCTTGTTGGCCTCTGGTGCAGGTCCCTCCCCCAGGCCCCACCAGCTATCCCTTGCCTAAACGGCCGTGCCCTCAGGAGTCTTCTGAGGCCCCGTCTCTTCTGCAGCCTCACATGGCTTTGGTCATTGTGTGAATGCTGATGAGTTCCCAGCCCAGCCCTGTCTCTCTCACTCCTGAACTCCAGGTCCAAATGTCCAACTGTCCACTCAAACTCTCTAACCGGATGTCACATGGGCTCTTCAAGGGCATGTTCAAGTCCAGCTCCTGACCTTCCTCACACAAGCCTTTCCTGTGGCTTCTGTTCATCTATCCAAATGCCTAAGCCACCTGTGAGTCAGTCTTGGTTCTCCCCTGTCCCTCACTGCCACGGCCTCATCATTCTCTCCAGCCCCATCAGTCACCAACCCAGCCCTTCCACCTGCTACATGGCTCTCAGATCTACTCTCTCCATCAGCACCAAGACCTTCCCAGTCCAATTGAACACCAGCTTTTGCTTAGAGGAGAGCAATCGGTTCCCTAGTCACCTCCCTGCTCCCAGCTGTGCCCAATCCACTCTCGACCCTGCAGCTGGTTTGTTATTTGCAATGTGCAAATCTAAGCCCACCATTCACTTGTCTACATCCCATGGGGCCCCCACTGCCCTCAGTCTTCCATAACTCGGCCACAACCTACCGCTCCCACCTTCTCTTCTCTCATCTCCCTCCAAGCTCTGTCTCAAGCCCCACCCTCCAACCACACCAAACCTCTTTCAATTCTTCAAATTGCATGACTCCCCCATCCCCCTAGGGCTGCGAACATGTCCCCCAAGAACACTGTCTCCCCAGCCCTATCCAGGATTTCTGACTTCGTCTAACTGCCACTCCTTCTGCAGAGGCTTCCCAGCCCAGCCAGAAAATGCCAGACGGTCCCACAACGTCTCAGTGAGCAGTCCATTTCTTCCTCTACTCTAGCACTTGTGACATATTCATACGAGGCGCTTTTAAAGGATTTGTCTCCCATATTAGTAAACTCCCTGCCTTGGCCGGGGGAGCCATGACTGACCATCTCCGCAGTACCTGGGACAAGACCTGGCCCCCTACGAAGCAGCAGGTACAAAACGCTGGAAGGAAGGATGAATAAATAAATGGCAAGCACTGTGCTTATGTTATTTCATTTAATTCTTACAAGAATCCTCTCAGGGAGGTACTCTTTGTCTCATTTTACAGGTGAGCAAAGGGGAGTAACTTGCCTCAAATCACACAACTAGCAAATAGAAAGCTGGACCCAGGTTTAACAACAGAGGTCACACCGCAACTCCCCCCTCCCTCACCCCCCCACCCCCGGGCCCCCCTCCGGCCACCCCGCCCCCACCCGGCATCCCACAGGAAGCCAGGGGGCCCTCCACAGGTCCTGTGAGGTTTGGGGAACTCAGGCTGGGACTGGCTACAGTTACCTGGAAGCACGTGGGCCCTGGCCTCCCCGCGGGGATGTCCGACTGGTAGAAAACTTTGAGCTCTGGAGTCAGGGCAATGACAGTCTTAATCACCAGGGAGATGATGTCAGACCAGACCTTCTTGATGTCAACACCTTTGGAAGACAGTCTACAGAGAATGCTAGAGAAAGTCCTCTTGCTGCCTGTGCTCGTGCTGTCCGAATGAATGAAGTTGCCACTGTGGATGTTCAGGGAGTAGTTGGTCAGGTGCATGAAGGTGTGGTGCAGGTTTTTGGGGCTGGGCTCCTGGTATGGCTCGGTACAAAATCTAGAGAGTCCGTCTTTGGCTATATAAATCTCCAGGGGGTCTAAGGACTTGAGTAAGACATACAGACGGATGTCAAACTTGAGCTTGTCGATCAGAAGAGGTTTGCAGATGTACTCCTGGACCACCGCCGGCCGGCTCTGTAGGGTCCCTGCCAGGCGGATGTCACTGGGGTCTTTAATGAGGTAGATGCCATCGCCCTGACAGCCACTGTCAGGTTTCACGATGAACGTGGGCTTCCAGGAGGGGTCGCCATCTTTCACCATTCGAACCTGGTGGGGGAAAAAAGCACGGTTGGCATTACATTCTTTTCCTCTCCAGGCCCCCAAGACAGAGCAGGACCTTAGCCAATGTTTGGGGAAGGAGTGATAAAGTGAGCCCCATCCGTGGGAGTCTTCATGAAGCACCGGGGGCGGGGGGGATAACAATGGGGCTAGCTATCGAGATCTGGACCTAAGATCTGTCCTCAGTCTTGTCCTCTAGGAAGGGGACCAGGAGTGTTGTAGGTCTGCAGTCACAGGACCTAGGTCCAAATTCCAGGTCTTTGTCAGTTGTAAGGTCTAACACCGGGCAAGCCATTTAACTAACGATGACCTGTTAATGGTGAGGAAGAGGAGGGGCAGAAGGAGAAGGATGATGGCCCAGCACCATTTTTTTTTTTAAAGATTTTATTTATTTATAAGGAGAGCATGATCGGAGTGGGGAGCGAGGCAGGGGGAGAGGGAGAAGCTGATTCCCCACGGAGCAGGGTGCGGGACGCAGGGCTCGAACCCAGCATCCTGAGATCATGACCTGAGCCGAAGTCAGATGCTTAACCGACTGAGCCACCCAGGTGCCCCGGCCTCGCACCACGTATGAGTGCCTGCGAAGTGCCAGAGACTCTACGAGGCACTGGACAGCAGTCACCTACTCTGACCCTCACAGAGAATATGATTCTTTTCTCCCGGCACAGGGAACAGAGAGGGCAAAGCCGATGTTCGGAGTGTGGGCACCAATCCCACTGCCCGGGCTCCACCCTGGCCCAGCTCTTCCCGCGTGACCTTGGGCAAGTTACTTAAGTTCTTGGTGACTTCCTCACCTACAGAATGGCAGTAAGATTGTTCTGAGCAGTAAGATTGTCAGTAAGATTTATCTGAGGATGAAATGAGATAAAGAATGCAAAGGTCCAAGCACTCAGAACCGGAGCCGAGAAAGGCAGCGGCAAGCCCAGCTCTTCCTGCTTCTTAAGGAAGAAGTAACTTGTCCGCTGACTGAGAGGCGGAACAGGGATTAGAATCTCCATCAGGGACTCTAAAGTGTCTGCACCTTCCTCTCTCCTACTGGATTTCTGTTTCCTCCTCTTAAAAATGGGCATCTAGGAGCTCCTGGGCGGCTCAGTTGGTTAAGTGTCTGCCTTCAGCTCAGGTCATGATCCTGGGGTCCTGGGATTGAGCCCTGCCCCAGGCTGTCTGCTCAGTGGGGAGTTTGCCTCTCCCTCTCCCTCCGCTCACACTCACTCTAGCTCTCCAATAAATAAATAATCTTTTTTTAAAAAGGAAAATAAAAATAAAAATGGGGCCCCAAAACCTACCCTCATGGGGTCACAGTAAAGAGGAGAGAAACTAAAATGTACAAAGGGCCTGCAGAGCTAGCGCGGGGAAACGTTCGTGTTACCACTTGGATCTCCTATTTGGTTCCTCTCGCAGACCCCGCCCATCCTCCTTCCGTCCTTTGAGATGATTCTGAAGCTAGATTCTGCCATCCGTACTATCGCACGGTCTTCCCCGCTCTGGGTCAGCGGCACACGCACAGAATTATCTGGGGCACTTGACCTGTCCAGACAGTCAGTCTGGATCCGCAGGTCTGCATAATTCATGCGCACCCAGTTTCCCCTGGACACTCTCAGGTAGACCCTGCAGTTATGGAGAATGCACAGAGTTGACGTGGAGGGGGCGGGGGAGCTGGAGGAAGCCGGAGGCGGATGGGAAAGAGTGCAACTCATGGTGTACAAGAGCTCCCGACTGGGCCTTCCGTTCTGGGCTGTTCTGGGCTCTGTAACTCCGAGCCATGACTGGGGCCTGAGGAGCGGGCATCCTCCAACACTGGACTCACTCCGGCCCTCTGCCTTTGCTGCAGGCGCTCAGCCCAGGACAGCTGCACTCTGGGTTTTACTTATCTCTCTGGCCAGCCTATATTTCTAAGTGAAGCTTTTGCCAATTCCTTGGGCACTATCGGTTACTCCGGGCTTGTAAAAGATCTTTAACAATGGAGAAACACTTAAAACCTTAATAATGGTCCACATCAATTGTTTCCCCTTGTCAGCAGGATTCGGGAATGGAAGTTCACAAGAGATCAATGCAAGCCTCCCAGGGCCTTCCACGGAGCCTTTCTTGTAACCACGACCTTGACGTGTATGTAGTTATTTAATATGCATCCAAAGCATTCCTATATTTGGCCCTTCGCGGTAAATACAAGCATGTGGGAGGAATGGCAGTTACGGATCAAAAAAGTGAAAAATGTCAAGTTTGCACTGATGGATAATTTTTCCCTCTGGAAAGCTTTTACTATGCTGAAGACGCTAACAGTTCAATATATTATGAGGAGCAATATTTTCTCCTTTGAATTCAGTGTATATGCCTTAAATAAATTAAACTACATGGTCAGTAGTCTCTGTCATTCATTGCATTACTGAATATTTCTTCTGTTCTTTGCTGGGGGAGGACCATACGAATCATGATTATTAATACTAACAGGATAATTGAAATTTTAGGACAGGGAGGATCCTTAGAGATCAGTGCCGCTCAGTCCTCCCATAATTCAAACTGGGAAGCCGAGGCTCCGAAAGGTGGCATGACTTGCCCTGGGTCCTCTCACTGGCTGGCGGGATGGTTCGGATGAGAACTAAGGTCGTCTGACCTTACTGCAGGTTCTCTACACCCACTTACCTCTCCTAAGCTAAAGATAAATGCCTCTTTTTCCTGAATACTACGGGAAAGATTCTCTCCCTATGGCAGAGAGTGTTGGTGTCTGAACTCTGGCTGCACACTAAGGAGTCTGGACCCTGAGCATGGCCTTCTCAGAGCTATAACCACAGATGCTGAGCTTGCTAGGGCCTCCCCCATTCCAGAAGCTCCTGCCCAGGTTCCTGGCTTATTATAATATAGGTACAATCTATAAGAAAGCCTCAGAGCTCTGAGTTCCCACAGCCACCAGATCCTTCAGTGGCTTCTATTTTTATAAGGGGAAGAGATTTTTCCAGAATTCATATTCACCTCTCTTCTGAGGTTTTACCCCAGAGTGACCCTTTCCCTCCCAGTTATTAAAGTTAAGAACGAATGCACTAGTTCTTGGCAAGAACACATGGACTAGAATAAAAATATAGTCTCTCTAACTGGGCCCCACCCCAGAAATTCTGATTTAATAGATCTAGGAGGAGACCTGGGCATGTGTACTTTGGAAAAAGCATGAGGGATGATTCTGATGTTCACTCTGCTTGAGAACCACTGAACTAATGTGAACTGAATAAAAATACAATCGGGGACCAACATATCGAATGAAGTTTTATGCACTGATGTCAGACTGAATCGGAGGAAGACCTGCACGTACGCTACAGCTGCTGGTATCTCCAGTTTTACCCAAAGCTGCTGTTGGGACGTGAAATCCATTATCTTGTAACTATGCACGGATGGCTGAAAGAGATGCGAAGAGGATGTGGTGGCCTGATTGCTTGGCAGGCAACGGGCCTATTGAAAAAAAATGTGTCTTTTACTGCCCCCTAGTGGATGTTGAAGAAATGTGACTGGAAAAGACCCCTCATTCAAAATTCCAACTCTTAGCAGTAACCTGCTCTACCAAGATGGTCTTAAAGAAGCACCGCTACAAAGAGCTCTCTCTGTAGACTGTTAAGGTAAAGTAAGGTCATAGTTCAGATGAACTCATCTCTACAAGGCCAGGGTTGGCCAAGGTCACATTCAGCGTTCATGCTCTCTGTTCTTGAAATACATTTCAAGTGTTCTCCCTACTACACAGATGGGACTATCTGCTAAAATTCTCCCTTAGTATGTATAAAACTTCTAAAATTATGGGCAGCATGAATATGAAATCTTGTAAATATATACCACAAAAACATCTGTGGCTTTTCTATTCTTCACTGTGCTTTTTTGTATTTTCCCAACTTCCCATTACGAAAAAAAAAATGAGTAGCGAGGGTCGGCAGCAAGTGTCTCTAAATGTATATAAGGAATACTTCTTGGTGAGTGGATACGTGTTCGTCGACGTTCGTAGCAGCAGGACTCACAATAGCCAAAATGTGGGAGAAGTCTGAGTGTCCATCAACAGATGAGTGGTAAAAAAAAAAAAAAATGTGCTATCCACATACAACAGAAGACTATTCCTCCATATAAAGGAAGGGAGTTCTGACACCTGCCTCAGTGGGTGAACCTGGAGGACATTATGCTAAGCGAAATAAGCTGTCACACAAAAGGACAAATGCTGAACGGTCACACTTACATGAAGTACCCAGAGAAGTCAGAATTCACAGAGACCGAAAGCAGAGCAGTTACGAGAGACTTAGGAGAGGGAGAAACAGACAGCTGGCGTGTGAGAGGCACAGAGCGTCAGTCCGGGGAGACAGAAAAAGTTCTGGAGACGGTTGGTGGTGACGGTGGCACAGGAGAGTGAATGCGTTTGAGGCCACTCAACTGTCCACTTAAAAATGGTGTCGATGGCGAGTTTTACCTTGTGCGGATTCTACCACAATTTTTTAAAGTTTTAAAAAATGTTTAGTAGAATAAATAAACAAAATAGTTATTGGTGAGTTGGAAAGAAAACTGAAGTAAAAAAAAAAAAAACCCAGAAAATGTGGATTCTAGCCCCAGTTTAGTCGGGTAATTTCCGACGGTGTGACCTTGGGTAAGTCACCTAAGCTCTCCTGGGCTTTGTTGTATTCAACTATAAAATAAAGAGGGCACACTAAGGTCCCTGGCTTCTGCCGACTCCCAGGGTCTGAACAATGATTTATCTTGACATCACCACAGTTGAAGGCTGTGTTACAAACACGCAAGTGACATTAATCAGCGGAGAGCTCCCGCCACCGTGATGAGAGCATCGGGAGGGTCTACAAGAGTGGGAGATCTGGATTGGAGATTTATGATGCACTTGAGGAAGTTGGCTGGGTGTCTGGGGGAAGCGAGTTAAAATATTTTGAAAGAGAAACTCAGCAATGGGAATCCTAAGCCACAAACCATGATTAGCCATGAGGGGCAGCTAAGAGGACAGCTTCTGAGGAAATACA